TTACAGTTACATGGGCAAGATAATGAGTACATTTCTTATCAAGCATTGTAGCCTCCTCCTTTGTTTCCCCTTCCCATCCCTTCCCATCCTCCCCCTACCCCTCCCCCCGAAATTCTTTTCTTTTCTTTTTTTTCCGTTGGTCATGGGGTTTGAATTTAGGGCCTAGGTGCTGACTGTGCCTTTTTGCTCAAGCCTAGTGTGCTACCACTTTGAACCACAGTGCCACTTCCTGGTTTTCTAGTGGTTAATTGGAGATAAGAGTCTTAACTGGTTTTCCTGCCCAGGCTGGTTTTAAGTCCTGATCCTCAGATGTCAGCCTCCTGAGTAGTTAAGATTACAGGTGTGAGCCACCAGCACCTGGCCCTTCAGATTCCTGTCTGCAATTAACCACAAAAAAGCTAGAAGTGGAGCTGTGGTCCAAGGGGTGGAGTGCTATCTGTGAGCAAAAAAGCCACAGAGAGAGGTGACGACTCTGAGGCCAAGCCATAGTGCCTGCGTATGTGTGCACGCACACACACACACACAGAGTAAACAAAATGATTTTATGACGTGTACACACACAGCAAACAAAATTATGACATGTACATAATTTTAATAGTTTATGTGATTGGACTATTAGAGTTTCAATTATGAGGAAAATTTAATCTTAAAACCTCCTTCCTCTGGGAAAGAGCAAGGCAAGGGGTGACATTGTCCAAAAAGAAATGTACTCATTACATGACTTAGGTAACAGTAATCCTTCCGTACATCACTTTCATGATAACAATAAAAAATAACAAAAAATAAAAATTAGGGCTGGGATGTGGCTCAGCGGTAGAGTGCTTAACTAACATACATGAAGCCCTGGGTTTGATTCCTCAGCACCACATACACAGAAAAGGCCCGAGGTGGCGCTGGCTCAAGTGGTGTGCACAGAGAGGCTGGGGGACAGTGCTCAGACTCAATTCAAGCCAAAGGACTTGCCAAAAAAAAAACCCTCAATCTGTGGATATCTGCTTACAATGTCACAGCAGTTTTCAAAACAGAAATTCTGAACTCTTTGGAAAGCTGGGTGCCAGTTGCTCGTGCCTGTAATCGTAGCTACTCAGGAGGCTGATATCTGAGGATCATGGTTCAGAGCCAGCCCAATTAACTATCAAAAAATCCAGAAGTGGAGCAAAAGTAATAGAGCGCCAGCCTTGAGTAAAAAGCTAAGGAACAGTGCCCAGGTACTGAGTTGCACACGCGCAAGCTGCGCCTTCAGCTTCAGCTCAAGGCGAGCGCTCTACTACTTTGAGCCATAGCACCACTTCTGGTTTTCTGGTGGTTAAATGGAGATAAGAGTCTCACAGACTTTCCTGCTTTAGCTGGCTTTGAACCACTATCCTCAGATCTCAGCCTCCTGAGTAGCTAGGATTACAGGTGTGAGCCACAAGTGCCCAGCTTATAGCTTTTTAAGAAATCTTTTTATGGCACTACTCCTGGAGCTTGGACATTTTTTGCTTAAGGCTAGCACTCAAACATTTGAACCATGGCTCCACTTCTGTCTTTTTGGTGATTAATTGGAGATAAGAGTCTTATAGACTGTCCTGTCTGGGCTGGCTTCAAACTTTGATCCTCAAATCTGTTTCCTGAGTAGCTTGGATTACAGGCATGAGCCACTGGTGTTTGATCCAGGCATAGTTTTTATTGTGGAATGATTGGCTTGTGAGTCTCACTAGCAGATGCTTGCAGTCCCTAGCTCGGCACTGAGGCTGCAGGCGTGTGGGCAGGACCCACAGGAGGGACGGGCTCTTCCACGAGAAGTCCTTTCTTGCCAGTACCATGATGGGCTGTCACCATTACCATTCCTTCTGTTACCTCCAGTCTGGGCACATGACCTGATCCTGCTGCCTTCTGCAGCCCCACAGTGTCCCAGACTGTCCAGGCATGTGGTGCCACCAGGTGACCAGGCCAACTGTTCCCCCGTGCTGCCCACCACCTGCCATTCTTGCTGGCCTGAGCCGGCTCAACTCCACCTGGGCTATAGTCACATGAGCACGTTACTGTCCTGGGCAATGGATTCCCTTACAAAACACAAGTGTAAAGGTAAACTGATGGAGAGTTTCAAGACAGTAAGGGCAGAGCAATAAACCAGGGGCTTGTCTATTCAGCGCACAGTACAGACCATGAGACAGAGCTACACTGGGACCTTGGCAAAGCACTATCAAGCTCACATCTTTCCGTACTAGGGATTGAACCCAGGTCTTTGCTCATGCTAGGCAGATAACTACTATTTGAGCCACACAAATAGTTCACTCCACTTTTTTTTTTTTTAATGTTTTTTGAGTCATGGGCCTTGAACTCTGGGCCTGAGCCTGTCCCTGAGCCTCTTTTTGCTCAAGGCTAGTGCTCTACCACTTGAGCCACAGCACCACTTCTGGCTTTTTTGAGTGCTTTACTGGAGATAAGAGTCTCATGGGCTTTTCTTCTCTGGCTGGCTTTGACCTGTGATCCTCAGATCTCAGCCTCCTGAGTAGCTAGGATTACAGGCGTGAGCCACCAGAATTAACGACCAGAAAACCAGAAGTGGCGCTGTGGCTCAAGTGGTAGAGTGCTCACCTTGAGCTGAACAGCTAAGAGACAGCACTCAGGCCCAGAGTTCAGGCCCCACAGCGACCAAAAAAAAAAAAGAAAAATTGACTGTGTGTGTGTGTGTGTGTGTGCATAATATATGTATCTGATATTCCTAAAGCCTATTCTGTCTTGTTGCTTTTTATTGGCGGTGATGGGGATGGAATCCAGGGCCTGGCACGTGCTAAACAAGCATTCTCCCGTTGAGCTACATCTCCTGCCCCTTTAAAGCCTGCTGTGAAGACTTTGATTTATTACCATCTGTTACCTGGGCTCCTCCAGCTCTGGTGTCCTCCCAAGCTCTGTCCCAATTATGTGCCCTAGAAATGCTACAGCAGACATTTCCATGTTTCAGACGAAGTGCAGTGCCCTGTTCCTCCAGCTGCTCACAGCTGCCAAGGTCTGCTCTCGCCTCCTGTGCCTCTCCTGGCCACCGTGGGCACCCCCTAAAGATGTGCCTTCCAGTTTGAAGTCCACATCACCAGCCATAACTGTAGATAACTGTGTGATGGATATCTAAGCACTTTCCTGTGTTAAACTTATTTAAACAACTAGTCATACAAATATGTTCCCATTTTTACAGATAAAAATGGAGGCACAGAAACATTAAATAATGTAGCTAGATAGTGGTAGAATTAGAATACAAAATCCAAGGAAGAGGCAGTGAGACTCATCTTACCAAAAAGTGGAGGTGGAGGTGTGGTGCAAGTAGTAGAGCACCAACTTTGAGTCAAAAAGCTCAGGAACAGTGCTTAGGCCTTAAGTTCAAGCCTTAGTACCAGCACCCTCCCCGCAAGGGGAAAAACTAAAACTATCTAGTATAAGGAAAGCTGGCAGCTCAATGGGTAGAACCGCCCCCCCATATCCCAACCCTTACCCCGGTGCCAGGCCACACCCCCTCTTATCTGGACTGGAAGCCTCAGCAGCCTGCTAATTCTGGCCCAGGATAATGTTAGAAATTTGATTATCTTGGGGCTGGGAAGGTGGCTCAGTGGTAGAGTGCTTGCCTTGCATGCCTGAGGCCTTGGGTTCGATTCCTCAGCACCACACAAGCAAAAAAAAAGAAAAAAGCCGGAAGTGGCGCTGTGGCTCAAGTCGTAGGGCGCTAGCCTTGAGCTGAAGAGCTGAGGGACAGTGCCCAGGCCTAGAGTTCAGGCTCCACGACTGGACCCAAAAAAAAAAAAAAAAGAGTAGAAATGTGATTATCTTTACCCTACTTGTGATAAGCCCCTTCCTATGGCACACTGCCTCCCTGCCCCAAACTCCAGCTTTGATCATTAGCCAGCAGTGCCCTTTCTCCCTGCTTGCCTGCCCTGTTCCTCTCCCTGCTACACCCAGCTCTCAGTTCTCCTCCCCACGACATGGTCCTAACCCCCTGGGGGAATCGAGCCATTGCCAATCATCCTGGCCGGCTGACCAAGGTCACCTTGGCTGAGCTGATGGCAGACCCAAAAGCAGTTTGGGGGCCTAAAGGTGAGGCCTTTGGAGACACCTTCTGTGTGAGAACTGTTGCCAAGGCTCAAGGTCAAGCATATGGCTTGAGGGGGGTGGGGAGAACCAAACACTTGGAGCAGATCCGAGTCCAGGCTCAGGTTTGGTCAGGTCACTGTGTGTATCCCCACATCCCTAGGAGGTGGGGATTTTTAAAACAAAGACATTGGTGTGTGAGATTTACTCAAGGAATAAAGGAAGTATTTCAAAGCAGTGGGGGGAGAAGAGATGATTTAACAAATGAACATAATAAGAACTTGGCTCTGTGTATGGAAAGAATTGAATTGGATCCCTTACACTGCACGCTTCCAAACAGAGCAGATGATTGTGTATGTGGACATGAATGGAATTTAAGGAAGGGAAGGCAGGTCTCAGCAAAACACACGAATGCAGAGACCATAAAGGCAGCTTCTAACTTAACCATGTGAAAATGTAAAGGTATAGCACATCAAAAAACAGCATTAAAACACTTGCAGTATGTAAGCAGATAGAAATATAGGCTGTGGGGGCTAGAAATGTGGTAGAGTGCTTGCCTAGCATGCATGAAGCCCTGGGTTTGATTCCTCAGTACCACATACACAGAAAAAGCTGGAAGTAGAAGCCGGGCGCTGGTGGCTCACG